GCTTGAGCCCAGGAGTTTGAGGTTGCTGTGAGCTAGGATGACGCCATGGCACTCTAGCCTGGGCAACACAGTGAGACTCTGTCTCAAAAAAAAAAAAAGAATTATGTACTAACAGACAACCTGTGAAGAAAGTTTTTGCTCAATTCTTCTTACCTGGCATACCAAGGAGGCCACCTGGCACAGACAATTGGGGTGCCTGTGCAAAGTTTGAAAGCATGGAGCGGGCAGATGTTGGTATGCCACGCTGGAGGCTGCTCTGGGGCTGTGGAGCCTGCAACAATGAAGAGACAGTTGACACAACTTTGCTATGATGGAAGGTTAAGTGGGAGGCAAAGATATGGGAGTACAGAAGAGCAGTATGATTTCCCACAGAAGAAAGGACAAATTGGGATAAATGGCTGATAAACTCTTGAGAGAAATCAGTGTCAGTGAAAAAGTTCCTCACCTGCCGAAGTGTATGATGTCTCATGATGGTCTCTTGTTTACTGACACTGGATACAGTTGGAGCCGTAGTAGGGGAGAGGGCTGCCTGCTGCTGTAATCGCTGTTCAATTTCCTGTTGGGAGTCATCAGATCAGGTTGGACAGGACAGCACCCAATTTCCTAACCAGAAAACCTAGAGGTCTTATCTCTAATGCTGTCTGCTAATTGGAAGGATATGGAAAAGGCAAAAGATTTTGCTGGGGTGGCTACACTGAGATCTCTGGCTCAAGCAGCCAACTTGCTTCATTGATTAAGGGATTCTCCTCTCTCTCCAGGAAAGCTGGCTCTCAGAAGTTGGCTGGAGGCAATAAGCCAACTAATGCAATTAAGTCTGATGAATTATTGGGGTTTTATTTTTGACTCCTGCCTACTCATCTTCCAAAAGGTCTCTGACTCTACCCAAACAAAGGAGTCTGGTGGGTGGTAGAGTGGGACATGGGATAGAGGAAAAGGATCTGAGCTTCCCAACAGATTTTTCCCTCTCCCAGGTATTCTCTTTCTGTAACTACTACAGGAGATGTTCACACATCCTAACACCACTGGGCTTACTCTATAATATAATCTACTCTTTCCTTTGTCATTCCTTGTCAAGTACAGACTGCAAATAATTACTTCTTTTGAAGAGATTTTCTAGCGCAAATATAAATTCCACCCACCAAAATCCATCTGTTTGAGGAGAAAATGAAGTCAAAAATAGAATGCCGTGGAAAAGCCAAGAGTTTCAAGCCTTCTGTCCTTTTCCCTTAACCTTAGCCATTATATGTTACTATGTTCTTATCCATTTGATAGAAATAGTCAAACGGAAATGGGAAAGATGGGATGATAAGGAGAAGAAAGGGAACCTGGGCCTTTAGGTCCAGAGCTCTGTGGGTATCACACAGACAATTCCTCCAAACTAGAAGGAATGACCCTTTGGGAAAACCAAATCTGGGACAGGTGGCTGGTGAGAAGTCAGAATTTTTACCTGTTCCTGCTGTAGGGCTTTAACAAAAGCATTTTTCAGCCGGTTGGTGTGTTCAGCTTTTAGAGCCTTCTTCTGGTTGGAGGTCATACACTGCTCACACAGAATCTTACCATTCTTTTCTTGCTTCCAGTGAGGGGTGAAATCTGTGCGGCACTGGGCACATACAAAGGGTTCGACCCGCAGAAGTGAGGCACAGCTTTTGCCTAGAAAAAATAATAATCATTTTATATTTCCTGTCTCCTCTGTTTCTCTTAATCACATAGATCTTTTTCGGGAGTTTATTCTACTAAATTAAGAGTCTCTAAAAAAAAGAATACAGTTTATAAGATAGTTTTATTTCAACTGATTCTAACAGTATCAGTTTAGGTAATTCGGACAGTACCATCCTCACTTACAAACAAGGAAACAAAGTCTAAGAAACACAGCTCCCAATGATAAAGCTGGGACAAGAACCCATGTTTTCTGATTTCCTACTGGATCACACTGAGAAGAAAATACCGTGTCAATTCAAAGTCAAAGGACTTCACCTAACTCAACCAATACTTCTGCTTCTTGGTATTCTCCTTACCCCAAACTGTATTCCTGTTACATACATTTATAATTTTCAGTTACCAGTGTCTGAATTATTCACTTTGTGATCTGCTTATAGCCAATACTGAGTCCTCTAGGCACTTTTCTCTACTGTCAGGTGTTCCCGTAAGTCCACATGCTTAGAAATTCAAGCTTAATAACTTGTTAGTCTGGACTGTATAGTGTTAATATTCTATAATGTGGTTCAGTATTAGGTTATAGCTTTTATGTGGTCATATTTAGTTATCTATATCAGTATCTCTAGTTTCTCAACCATAAGCATTCAAAGGGCAGGGACTGAATATGATAATTTAGCACAATGCTGCACAAACACTAACATTAAAAATAGAAGTTCGGGCTGGGTGCGGTGGCTCATGACTGTAATCCTAGCACTCCGGGAGGCTGAGGCAGGAGGATCACTTGACATCAGGACTGAGACCAGCCTGAGCAAGAGCCAGACCCCATTCTTTACCAAAAATAGACAAAATTAGCCGGGTGTGGTGGCATGCACCTATAGTCCCCGCTACTTGGGAGGCTGAGGAAGAAGGATCGCTTAAGCCCAGGAGTTTGAGGTTGCAGTGAGCTGTGATGATGCCACTGCACTCTACCCAGGGCAACAGAGCGTGAGCTTATCTCCAAAATAAATAAATAAATAAAAGAAGTTCTATTCACCAAACTATGCATGCATTATGCTAGGCACCATTTAAAAGAACTCAGCAATACACATGAAATCCTCAGTGTTGTTGGTAGGGTCTTAGAGGCTGTGATTTAAGTGAAACAACATAATAAAACCAATTCCTTAAATCTCAAAATGAAACAAAACAACACTATTCAAGGACCTGATGTAGTCATTTTGCTTAAAGCCACAGTTTCCAAGAACCTATCAATGACATTAAATGAGGAGTTACTGTACTGCAAAAACCACACAAGATACACAAAACACGTAATAAAAACATTAAGCCTCATATACACACATACAAAAAAGCTCTTCTGATATGTTGCTCCAATAAGCCTGTAAATAAGGGAGGGGAGGTGGTTTGGCAATAGTTAGGAGAGGTTATTTAATACTGCACAGTACTCTGTGATACTCTGCCCCTGTCAATCAGGCTTGGCAACCTCTTGCTTAGATAAAGAGACTTGACTAGAAGAAACAGCCTTACCTTGGCTGTCTATGACACTCTGTACGACTTCTTCCAAGCCTACCATGTAGATGAATTCACTATTCGCTGCACTAGGCAGGAAGTGAAGCAAAGGAGCAGGAGGTTTAGGGGGCGGTATCTCCAGGAGTGTCTTTTCCAGCTGTTTGCGAAGAGCCAATTTGGCTGCAGCCTGTGAGTTGGCAGCATCGGTCATGGCGCTGGGGCTAGGAAGTGGTGAGGACACTCTGTTCACGGTCCCTGGCTGGATATGAGAGGCAAGGTTCATATAGATGGCAGAGGATGTTGTACGTTGACAGGGAACGGAAGAACTTGACTGCTGAAACAGATTAAGAATCAGGGTCAGTGATGGCATGTGGGAGAAAGGACCAATTCTTGCTTCCTTGGCAGAAGACACTGTTTGATCCTAGTCTGGACTTCTTAGCTTCCACAAACTAAGAGGGGTCTGACTTACTCACTGAAAAAAACAAAACCAAAACAAAAAAAACCTCTGACACACAGGAAAGGAGAATGATGATGGCTATGAGATAAAACTGCTACGATAAAAATACAGATTTTGCTTTCTGTAACATATCCTTATGCTTTTTATTTCCTAGATCACTCTTATTTCTTTCTTCTAGGCAGATTTTAGCCTATTGCCGCTCTGCTGTATAACCTCTCTCCTCTACTACTATTTTCATATAATTCCTCAAAGCTTTCACTTTTGGAACTGCTCTCAATTAAAGATTCACCCAAATAATCCTTGTTGTCTTGGAGTTTCTCTATGTACCAAAACTTAACACGTATGGCCCTTTCAACAAGAAGTAAATAAAGGATTTCTTTGTTTCCAGATTAGGGCTCTCTCTTACCGGTTGGTAATTAATGGCGGGATTCATGTTGGGCGTTGTGGTGCGGACAAGGCCAGGTTTGGGTGGGCCCCGCTGACCCTGTAGTTGGGCTGGGTTTGGTGCAATAACACGTTGAGACATCAACATGTGTGGGAGGGTGGTATTGGTTGCTGAACGGATGACACTGTGACCCTGAAAATAAAGAGGAAAAGCACTATTCACAGGTGGTATAATGACCTACAAAATGCAAAAGAGGAAAACACAGCTGAGTAGAAACACAGGAACACAGCAAGACTTGGTTTGATAAAGTATGGGATAAATATACTATCACTGTAAACCCTGAGTATTGGTTAGAAGTCCCTGGCTTTTTTGGTATAAATGATCTAATCCTATATTGGTTAGATAGTTAAAAAACTATCCAACCCTTCTCTAGAGAAGCTGGAAAACTTCTCTAGAAAAGAAAAATTACAGTGGAAAGATGAAGGTTATTCATCTTTCTATTGCAGATCGTACCATCACAGAGGACCAATAGGATGATCTGTAGTAATAACACCTCTATCATGGCCAGGTTCTTCTAGATTCTTCACAAATGCCCTCAAACAGAGACAGGATAGACAGGGCCCTCCAACAATAAGATACCACTATGGGTCGCATACCTGTAATGTTCTCAAATTTTGAGGTTCAACCCCTTGGGCCCCAGGCCGGGAGGGAAGCTTGGATAGGCCCTGCTGTCCCACATGGGCAGGAGATGGCTGAACAATAGATGCTGCATTCTGTACAACTGGAGTCTGGGAGAGGGAAGAGAAAATGTGACTGTGGACAAGGCCATAAGCAGAAGTAGAAATCTGGTACATTTCTAGACTTTTAAAATTCCTTGTCAGTGGCCGGGTGCGGTGGCTCACGCCTGTAATCCTAGCACTCTGGGAGGCCGAGGCGGGCGGATCGTTTGAGCTCAGGAGTTCGAGACCAGCCTGAGCAAGAG